AATTGCGGATTCGAGTTCCCTGCCCCCGAATTACCTTTGGTCAAACTTTATGAAAAAACATTATGTTCAGAGAGGTCAAAGAAACTTTTTCTGGTTCTGCGCGAACGAACGCACACACACACGAACAAACGTAACCAACTCATTTCGACGTAATACCCCCTCCTTTCAGTAGAGGGAATATGATTGTTTTAAATAAAGAGTTTTCGTCAACATTATGTTAAATTACGTGACAATGAAAAAAATCGTAAATTAATTGAATTATTTGGCAGATTAGAATTTAATCAAGTTGTTATTTTTGTTAAATCGGTACAACATTGTTCTGCTTTATGTAAATTATTAACTGAACAAAATTTTCCTGTTACTGGAATACATTGTGAAATGCCACACGAAGAACGGTTTGTTTATTTCTAATCGACATAAATAAAAAACCGAATAATTCTATTTATTTAGTTTGAAACATTATAAAAAATATTTATTTAATTTGGCACATTATAAAGAATTTAAAGAACTTCAAAAGCCTATTCTTGTTGCAACAGATTTATTTAGAGTCGGTATGGATATTGAAGGTGTTGACATTGTATTTAATTATGATATGCCTGAAGATACTGATACATATCTTCATCGAGTATGTTCAAAAACAAGAGATTTTTTTATTAACATATTTAATTTTAGGTTGCTTGTGCTGGTGGATTTGATGCAAAAGGTTTAGCAATAATATTTGTTGCAAATACAAATGATGAAGCAATTCTTAATGAAGTTCAAAAACGTTTTGAAATACAAATTACTGAAATGCCCGATGAAATCGATGTTTCTACATACAGTAATGAAGATTTCTTGTAGTTTTGATATTCTAAATGATTTCTCTTTTTTCTAGTCGAAAATCGTTAATTATCTGATCTTATTGATTCAAATGAAACATGAAATGTTTTTTTTGTCTTGTCTGGATTTTTATCATTCTTACTTTTCGTTCATTTTCTTTAGTTTTTTTTTGTTACAAAACTTGTGTGTGAGTGTACTGGAGAACATGAATTTATTTCTCTATTCGTCAAACACAGTTCTTTTTTTTCTCGTGTACTTTTTACTTTGTTGCTATACAACCAAGAACAACAATAAAATAGTCTTAGAAACATGCATGCATATGAGCTCGACGTTAGAAACCTTAGATCAATTCATATTGGAAAAAAGGATATATTCAAAGATGATCTCACAATTCGCTTCTGTTTTTTCCTCTTGTGCTCGTGTTAGAAATGTAATGATGCTCTTTTTTTTCTCTGTATGTTTGTGTCGTTTTCCATTATCTTGTTGTTTGTTGAAAATAAAAATCATCAAGATACATCCATATAGAAAACGGTATTAAATCTGATATTGAAAAATTGTAATTTCAAACGGATAGACTAACAATATTGAAGCAGCAATTATTGGCTTGGAATTGAAGACTAGAATGCCACTTCGCCTCTTTTTTCACAAAATTATGGTTGATGACAAAAACTGTGATATAGTGACACCGTGACCATATAGGATTTCTTCCTTGATCGTCAATTTCTTGATCAATGCTCGGGTATATGTTAGAATTTTCCATGTTTTTTTTCTATTGAAGACCTTTGTCAATGGTCGTTGAAATGTTGGTCCTACTCGATACTAATTATACATCTAGAGATATATCTTTCATCTCTAGTCTATTGCTTCTATTTTCTTGTGAATAAACCAGATCTTCTGTACCTTATTTTTCTCCGATCGAGCTCGACTGCAAGGCGTGACATTAATGCACATCAATATTGATGAATTCTCATGGATTAATACACCACAAAATTGAGTTCAGTAAGAAATTTTAAACATTTTTCGAGCTCATACACCAGTAGAAGAAGTACAGAGATGCACTAATCCCAATTCCAATTCTAATCAATTTTAATTCCGGTTTTTAACTTGAATTTTTTTTCGGAATTGCAATTGAAAAAATTAAACCGAATTGAAATAGACTTTAACAGATGAAAACGTGTAATTTGGAAATGCTGATTAATTAGTACAGGAAAACTGATTTTGGCGATTTCCCCGATAATATAACTGAAGGATATCGGAGGCAAAGAGCTTGAGTCTGAGACCCGGTTTTTTTCGAAACGCCCAAATTCAGAATTTTAACTCAAATCTGTATCGATTTTGAGTTTTCGCGAATTTCGATCAAAAGCTACCGTGTGCTCTAATCAGAATCAAGCAAGAGTCATCGCTACTGACGACGCTGGAGTTAAATGAGTCATCATCAATGACCTTTAGTCAAATTCTTTGCGAAATAGTTAGAAGTCAATTTCAATATACTCGAAATTTTTTAACATTTTATAGCAAACATGTGCGAACATATGATCAACTCCAATTCAGTCCCTTTTTTTTCAAATTCCAACTCTAACTCAGGCCAATTGCACTTGATTTCAACTCTTAGAAATTTGTCAGAACTAGAATTGCTACATTCCTTGAAAGAACCTTCGTGACAAAACTTAATAGTTCCGTGCTTACATACAAAATCTTTTTATGATTATAGTGAAACTTGCAAAAGGTTTTATTTACGAATATGGAACCTTAAGGATTCGACGCCAAAATTACTTCTAGCGTATCCTCAGGACAGTTTTGGAATTTTCATATTGAACTATATAATATTTTGAATGTATTTTTCGTCTTTATAAACGCACGTTCGCTCTTATTGCGATTCATACGAGTGTTTGTTGATATGATACTGACCAAAAATAACACACCTCTTTTTCCCTCTTTTTTCACAGACTGTTGTGGAATGCCAGCTGTTGCTAAGTAAGAAAAATACCTGTGAAGCGCTCCATAGGTACTTTTCGGTTGTCATCTAAGAGAATAACAACAAGAAATCAAAACAAACTTTACGAATAACACTTCATTAAGGCCCACCTCCCACCCAAAATTTTATTTGTGCCATAGAACATCGAATCTTAACGAAATTTTCAGAGTAGATGTATCTTGGGCTGGGCACCTTGTGATAAAAATTTCAGCCTGAAATCTTAAGGATTCCATGAGATAGGTTAATATTAAGNGGTTCAATCTTGGGATGAAGTCTATTTCCGTGGTTGGTACAAATCAAGTCATATACTTCTTCATGATAAGTCACCTTGTATGAAAGCCAATGCAGCGCAATACCTTTTGGAGGGCGAGAGCATCTGATTCTGGGGAAATACAATTTGGTTCGGTAACAATCCTGACATGAACCTTGCAGAAAACATCGGTACCATTATCAAAGATAAAACTGAAAAACAAAATTCGAATGTGAAACCGATTGAGATTTTTAAAAAGGCTTTGACGAACATCAAATATAACTAGTAAGTTATTTGAATTTATTTTATGCTTGTGCCTATGTCAAATTCATTTTGCAAAAATATTCAAATAATTATTATGCTAATTATTGATTTTTTATTTATTAATCCCATGATTTCCGATAATTCTCAGCAGTTACATTTATCAATCAGAAGATACCGGAATCCACAAGATCCAATGAGGTTGTTTCATTTTCATAATCGTGTGTCAACCTTTTTTTAAAGGGATACCGAACAATTTTATATATTACTGAAAATATTCCTGTTTCAGCAGCATGTATTTATTTCGAGTATCTGTTCATTTTGTAAATGAATAATACACAACAAGAAAAAAATTATATGCAATAAACGAAATACAAATCATTTAGAAATAAGTATATTTTTCGTATAATTACTACATATGTCTATAGTATGCAGACATCCATTATAAACTACAGGGTGTCACCTAACCTAGACGCCACACTCTCTAGGACCTAATGAATAGATAGTATCAGAAAGTATTTATACCAGATTAAAGCCCATCAAAGATTACGTATTTGTATGATCTCTTCTGGTAACTATCAGAGCATCAAATCTTTTTCTCATTGAACATATTAAATAAATCAAAAAAATCTGTGTCATCTTCAACATTCCTCAGTATATTTTCATGGTGAGTTTTGAGAACATCATAACTGTATTTGCTATCAATTCTTCAATTTTATCTTTGATAATGGTACCGATGTTTTCTGCAAGGTTCATGTCAGGATTGTTACCGAACCAAATTGTATTTCCCCAGAATCAGATGCTCTCGCCCTCCAAAAGGTATTGCGCTGCATTGGCTTTCATACAAGGTGACTTATCATGAAGAAGTATATGACTTGATTTGTACCAACCACGGAAATAGACTTCATCCCAAGATTGAACCTGTTTCTTCAGGATCCAAATAAGTTTCTTTCCGATGAACATCACAAATATGGCGATACATCTTGCACCCTGAACTATTTCACCGTATCCTTCATCGATGCTCATGTCTTCAATGGCTTCGCAATTGCATGGAAACGTTTTAATCCTTGTCGGTAGTGTTCACGATGAATAGTCATAAGACTTACGCGCTGCCATTTTTTCCTCAAAATTTCTCTTGCAAATTTTTGAGAGCTGCTGTCTCTGATCTCATTTGCAGAGGTGATGATGTTTTTGCTCTTCTGAGAGAGCATCTGAAATCCATCACTTCCAAATCATATATAGCATTCTTCAATTGTTTTATTCCAATTACATCATACTCAATCTTCATGACGGTGTAATTTTTTGGAAAGTCATCTCATTGTGTGTCTCACGATGTGATATAATGAATTTTATTCAAAAATCGCTGCTCTTCTGAGTCTTTAAGAAGACTAACCATCGTGGTTCTCAAAACTGATGTGTCACAGGCTTGTCTCAATTTAATGAATATTTAATACAACCTCTAATGCGAGCAAAAGACACATAGAAAAGGAAAAAAGTAACAGAACTTGAAAGAGTGCCGATGTTTATTTATTCGCCTCTTAACTGTTCGTCCAAATATGTATACATAGTTTTCTTCTCTGTATTTTCCCTCTTAATTGTTGGTCATGAGTAATGAGTCCTTTTTGCTTGAGAACACAGACACATTATCAAACTCGTGCAAATGGTTCGTTACAATCAACTTTCATAATTTCTTAGGCAACATTTATTTTAATTGCACCCATATACGTATGTAGTTTTTTATGAGCTTTAATCTGGTTTTAATACTATCTGATATTATCTATCCTTCAGGTGATAGAGAGGGAATGCGTAAAGATGTGTGGGTGTGGGTAGGGCTCTACAGCTCACGTTCATATGAGCGCTCATGAGCGTGAGCATTTTTTGTGCATAGAATGCGGAATCGTCCCTGATCACTTTTGCCAACTTCGTTCCTCGAAAAGTGACATTCACTAGTTTTGAGTCTGAGGTCCCCCTCAGATGTCATGAAAAAGAAATTTTTTTTCTTCAAGGAGCAAAGCCACATGTACTTGTAGATTCATGGGTACTAATTACCAATATCATTACCAAAGCTCTCAAAACTCTTTCATTCCTAAAAGAATCCTAACCACTTTACACACCTTTTATTCATTATTGGCACCCTCCCTTAAAGAATAACTATTTACTAAAATTGAACGAAAAACATCTTTTCTGAACCGAAATTTCAAGGGTGTGGGTATAAATAATAAAGCGAAGACCCACACCCATGTCCAACTCTCTGATCAAGATTTGTAGACATCATTTTATCGGTAATGATTCATTCCTAATCGAAAATTAAGCACGGAATTTCTCGAAAACAAATAAACTATTCTGATTAAGTAGAATTGATTGAGATACAGAGATCCGTTTATCTTATTTATTATAGTTAAAATGCGGCTGTGTTCATTGTTTTGAAGAAGTCTTTGTGTTTGCCTCCAGGTTTGATGATTTTATTTAAGCTCTAGGAATTTAAATAACATGCATCAGAATTGAGAATAGACCATTTCATTCTTTTTTGTACACTTTTATCGTGTAAGTAATTCCATATATTGTGCATTAGTCGAAATGTCCAGCCAATTGCGGGATCTCATGGTTTTGCAATGAGTCGTATGAAACTCTTGCAACACATTCCAAATAATATTTTCTTATCAGATAAGAGGATACAAGCATAAATTTCATGATGAGACATTGAAACATAGATATGAGTGTTTTTAGTTATTCTGTATTTGATCTCAGTTGAGTGTATTTTAACGTATCATACACCGTCATCGACTTAGAATAGCTCAATATATCATGTATCTCGAAGGTTTGACTAGCTTTTATATTTTTCCGCGATCATTCTCATAAGATGTTTCAAGTTAGTACACGCATATTGTAACGACCCAACATTTTGTGTACATTTTTAAATGTATGCTTTTTTCGTCTTTTTCAAGTTTCTATTTCGCTCATTTACATATTATTTACGTTAATATTTTCTTTCATTTAAATGCACCGTTTATTGAATTGTCGACTTTGCGTATGTTAACATGGTTTTTCACACTCAAACAAATTAGTAATTAATTCTTTCTTCCTAGCCTTTTGATTATCATACATGCTTAGGTTGGCGTATTGCCTTCGGTAACGTATTGCGTTGTTTTTGTATAATCATTTCATCTCTAGTACTAGTGGCAGATTAGCAACATTAAAGAATCGTTCAGTACGAGGAAATCTTAAAAATGTTATTACTTTTATCGAAAAAGATTATTCCAATGTCGACAACGAAGCTTAATGTGACACGATCAAACCTATATTTAGTGTCAGTCGTTCATTTGTCATCGCGTGATTTCGGACAAACTAGAATGATCTCATATCACTTTTTCTATTTAAGTTAACTTAAATAAGATTGAAGAGAAAATATATTGTTAGATATTATCAGTAAATTTCGAGCACACCATATTTCTATCTTTCGACTTTTCATCGTTCACTCGACAGAGCATGCATTTATGAAAACTGAATCTAAGTTATCCTTCAAAGTTTATTGTATTTGGCTGACATTCGTATTGAGAAGGTAGGTTATTTGTTAAAATATCTGACTGATATTATTGAACTAGTTTTTCACTCATTTGCATCAAAATTTTATCGTAAACATATGTAATAGCTCTTTTTCTATCCTATTAGAAAATGCTATTAGCGCAATTCTGAGATTGACACGTGCACCACAACGTAGTTGTTGTTGTCAGACCTACGAAAGGTCTGAGTTCTATGCATTTTCATATCTCCGAGTAGATACCTGATTCGACTTTGAACATAAATAAAAAACCGCTTCCATGTATCACTCGGCACAAAAGAAAAGCAAAATTTCATTCAACAATACATGCCGCTTAAAGCAATAAAAAAAAAAACAAATATTATTCTACTTTTACATTTATAATTCAAATTCAAGGATCCATATAAGTGTAGCAAAAAAGAAAAAGATAAATTTTATCTCAACTATAAACTTATGGTTCGAATTGAGAGAGTCATAAAAGTCTGCAAAAAAACCAAAAGATAAATTTTATTCTAATTATAAACTTATAATTCGAATTACCCAGTCAAACCTCAATTTCGGAAACACGCATTGGTACGCGAGGAAAATCAAGAATCTTGCGTGTGCATGCAGGATATTTTTCATTTTCTCGAGTTTTGCGCTGATGCACGCATGTTTCTTTCAAAATATTCGAATCTTGCGTGTAAGCACAAGGCAATGCCGCTTGCACACACACGCGTGATAGAATTGCATGCATGCAAACACAGGTTTACTGGTATTTTAAGAAAACATGTACGAACATGCAGAGTTTTGTGCATGCATGTACTCGACAGCTGTATTCTTGTAAATTTGTGCAAGAAATATGATTTCGATGTAGACGCAACAGCTTTACCTGCATGAACATGCATGAACATGCATGATAGGTGTAGTCTTTTCAAATTTTGTATGGAGGTGCACGAAAAAATGTAATTTCAGACACATATGAGCACATGCAATACATAGCAAAAATTGTTCTTCAGTTTTTATGTTCAGGAACTTAGGAAAAATATGTAATTTGAAAAGTTCATGTAGTACCCCCTTTTATCCTTTGTCTAATATACTTGCATGAAAATTTTTATTTTATTTTTTGAATAACATGTCTTTTCTTTTAAATGCATCTCGTGTAAGCGTAATATTCTTTATATTAATTGCACTAGTAAATTGAAAATAAATTGTACAGGTATACGATAACGATTCGAAAAGATAAGAAAGCAAGAAAACCTATACGAGTTGTTACACTTATCAGCATAAGCTGGTTTGATATTCAAATTACATGCTAAATAAGCAATAAAAATCCGTTTGGTTCGAAATAATCAGACAAGAACACTAGGATATGAATACGTTAACGTTAAGTTTTAGATCAAAAAAAATAATAAGTGTAGTTTTGCTTGTAGATCAGTCAAAATATGATAAAATGCTACTATGACAGCGCATGTCTGACAGAAAGACTTAGCATTTATCTTTATATATTCACGAAAAACAGCACTGAAATCTTCGCATGTACAAAAATCTTTTACTCGCGTGTCTCCTATTATGAATAAAAGACATTATTTTCTCAATACTAATAAATATCGATCATAAGTCGAATGGTAAGAATGTTCGCTTGTCAAGAAAATATGTCAGGTTCGAATCCGTATGTACGTGTTATGTTCATATATTTCATACGTGTACATGCCTATAAAATATGTATCTCCTGTGTGTAAATGGCAGCACATTGTATGCATGATATGATTCATTTTTAAATATTTTTTTTACTAAACATGCGCGAATCTGCAAAAACTATACTCGCGGAAACTAGCGTGTAATCATTCCAACTTTTTGCATGCACACGCGAATATAGTTCACCCTGTGACGCGTTCACACGCATGCAATGTTATAGTAATACATGCATGGATACGGGCCCATTATCGCGCATTTACATGCATATTTTTTAAAATTATGTTTGACTGGGATTAACAGAGTCATATAAGTCTCAGAAGCATCATCTGAGACGCTGGCTGTGTCATCTATCCTGCTAGATGCATTCTTTGAAACGCTAGGCACATCATTTGAAATTGTAGACAGACCATCTGAGACGCAAGGATGCGTTTTCTGGAATCCAAGAACAACCCTCTAGGATGCTGCAAGCGTAACCTAGAAAACAAGTCACGCCACCTCGAGTACTAGACGCGGCAGCTGGATTGCTACAGTTATCCTCTGCCATCCTGAAAATCCTTGCTAGAATTCTAGAAGCGCCCTCTAGAAATCCACAAGCATGATTCAATATGCTACAAGAATTCGAGAGGATGCGACCGGCTTCAAGTGGGATGCTTCAGACATTGTCCGGAATGCCACTAGTAGTATATGCGAAGCTTGAACTACTGTTTGGCACACAGTCGAAATAGTAGTGTGCAGAGAGACGCCCATGGGTCGCGACTATTTGGAGGACGCTTAACATCCCCTCACCGCAATGCTGAAATACAGGATCAGATACTTGGGGAAAAGCCTTTTGTGGCAGCTGAATACATAGCCTGGTGCACTTCGGGTACCCCTGTCATTATTCTTGTGAGAGTGAGTGCATTTTAGGGTGTGAGTGCGAGTGTGGTTTAAGAAAAGAAGCCCTCACCCACACCCTTTTCTTAATGGTTTAATGAAGTAGACATCGTTGAGAAAACATTACCAGTGACCAATTAAGTACTAGTGAGAGACCAATCATTAATTTAAAAGGTACGACGGAATTCCTGGATTGAATTCGATATAATTTTATGACATGTGAGCATGTAAAGTGAATCATGGAGATATCAATAAAATAATACTGATTTTTTTTTGTTTTTATTTTTCCTGCAAACTGACACTAAAGCTTTTCTATGAATTTCTGCGATGGGAGGGAAGGAAGTAAATGAAGAGTACAAAAAATGACTAAAATATATGAAACTGTGTTGTTTACTATTTTTAGTTTATTTTGTTGCCTGTCAATTTCGAGTGCTACAGAAAAGCTAAAATTAGTTGTGGGAATGAAATCAGCGAAACGCTTCGATTCAGAAGACGAAATGCACGACAAACGCATAAATACCGATTCGCAACAGTCGTCCATACCAATAATGGAAGCGGAGCCCAAGACAAACACATCTTTATTATCGTCATTAGTAACACCAATAACCACAACAACATCCACAATACCATCGGTACAAGACGACTATCAGAACACTTCTATATACAATGTCATGCAGCAACGTCGAATTTTCGATCGTGAAAAAATCAATCTTGAATCACATCAGTTAGTATGGTTAGATCCAAAGGTCGATAGAGAACAAGAAAGTGATACATTAGCTTCACTGAAAAACTTAAGAAAAATTGTTGATTATACGAAACTATTTAACAATGTTGAACAATGCCAGCAGTTTATTGAGCAAACTAAGGTCGCAACTACATTTATACTCACCTCTGACGACCTAGGTGAACAGTTGGTATCTAACGTTCACAATCTCAAGAACGTCTCTTCGATTTATATTTATAATACCACCAACAATTATCAACAAGAATGGATCTCAAACTATTCAAAGGTAGGAAGCAACGTTCACTGATGTTAGTGAAACTGCACATCTAGTTTGATGCGATGTGCACAATAGATTTCCCGGTATCAGATTACACAATTATTTTGCTTATTTCGCTGAGAGATGAGAAAGTATCATAAAAAACACTTTCAAGACAATCTATGATGGAAAGAAATTTTCGCACAAAGCTTGTGTGTAGTGATCAACTGTGAGAGGATAACGTTGTTTAATTTTCGAATGCACTTATTTGTTATCGTTCTCCCAGAACTTTTATACCTCACTCCCATCCTCGACACATTTGTTCTTCAATTTTCATATAGATTAAGCAAGTACATTCAAACATTGAACAATTATTAAACAAGCTAAAGGATGATGTTCATAAATATTTAAACCATGATAACGACACGATTTTTAGAACAATTGGACAAGAAAATACTTCCGATGGATTTATGAGTTTATTGGTAGATATCGTTGATATTTTGTGTTATTTACCATATCCAGAAGATTGTCGATGTAAATTTATTGAAGCATTAAAAGAGTATTATAATGGTAAAGAAGCAGAACTAACAGTTCTAAAAACATTTGAACAAGACTATAGATCGGACAAAGCTATTTGGTGGTATACACGTGACAATTTTGTTCATCGTTTATTAAATCGTGCCTTACGGCAACACAATATTGAAGTACTGTTTTTATTCGGATTCTTTATACAGGACATATATCAACAATTGAAACATGAATGATCCAATCAGAATTTAGATGGACCATTAACAGTATACCGAGGACAGTTTATAAGACGCGACGAAATCAAGAAGATTAAAGAATGTGACTATGATACGGCATCATCAATTGTAAACAATAGTTTCTTCTCAGCGACCACTAATCGTGATTTAGCGTTATTGTATACAAATCAATCACAACCTGACGATGAGATTCAGTGTGTTTTATTTGAAATTGAAATTGAAACTGATGCTCGCCTAACATCTCGTCCTTACGCTGATATTGCTGCTTTGAGCAACTTTCCAGAGGAATCTGAAATATTATTCATGATCGCAACATATTTTGAGATCGAACCCGATGATTTTAAATACGATGATGATAAAAAAATTTGGATAGTTAAACTGAAATTAGCAGATGATGATCATGTAAAAGATGATCGAGAATTTGAAAGTGCAAGCAAGAGAAAAACACTGAAAAACTGTGTTAGTATATTTGAAGATGTTCTTTACAAGGAGTCATCTGACGTCAGAATTACAATATTCAATGAATTGATTAATTTATATCCATTAGAAAAATGGCTTTCTGACATGAAAGATTATTATCTTGGTCGCTATCCTGAAAAACATATAGAAGAAATCTACGCTTCGGTGTTATCAACTCGTTCTGACGTATTGACAATGTGGTTTGAATACATCAATGATACAGAATTAAATTGCTACGTCGATATTGGTAAAATTTACAAAGGTATTGGTGACTGTTATCCAGAAGAATTAGATGATGAAAATGCGGCTACAAAACATTATGATCTAGCTATTAAGTATTTTCAATCAGCGATTGAAAATACTGCGACGGATTATGAAAAGATAGAGATATTCGATCTGTTAAGTGATGTGTATCGAAGCAAGATGGAAATCAGCAATGACGAGAATGAACAAATACAAAATTGTTTACTAGCCATACATAACATGCAACTAAGTATTGAAAACTTGTTAGTACATCGTTCATCTGATTATTACGGTATTGCCAATCGGAGTGAAGAATTAGCTGATCTTCAACAAGCGATATCTAAATATGATGATGCATTAACTAATTATGAAAAAGCGATTGATGCTCATAGGAAACAGTTTGAACCAAATTTACGCTGGATTAAAGCTATTTATGAAAAAAATAATTCGAATTTATGATAACCATAAACATGAGTATAATTCAGCACTTAAATACCAATTATTGAAACACGATTGTACATTGAAAATCAATGTATTAAAACCAAAAAACTATATGTCTAAAATAGTTGAGAGTCACGTTGAATTAGCTGATCGCTATGTAGCACTGCATCAGCATGCTTCAGCTGAAGAACAATTGATGGCAATAATGAAACTATATCAGGAATCTAAGTTATTCAGTGAAAAAGAAACAATAGTTGTTAAAGAAAAATTAAACAATTTGCATAAACAATTAGAAGACCAGCGTGATTTGGATAATGAGCATTTAACAATAGTAAAGAATTTGTATCAAGAAGTCAAACACGATTTGCAGAATGATAGCGGACAATCGGTCCAGAAATAAAAGTATACCATTGCCAAGTTTAAAAACCGATACACTTACTGTTGTACACAGGTTCGGCTTGTTCACTGAACTAAAAAAAGTATGATTTTAGAAAAATCTGTTCTTAATATATTCAAGAAAATTGAAAATAAAAAATAAACTAGACCCAGGTAAAATATTAGAAGATCAGAATAAAAAGATCGTTACTGTAGGTGCAACAGTGTCTGGAAATTGGAACAAAAAACATCGGATGGGTGTGAGGGTGTGGATGTGTGGGTCTACCATTTACATACACGCAGATCCCACACCCACACCCCCACACTCCACACCTTCAGTAATATGAGAAAATACCTTTTTAAAGGAGAAATAGACTCATATGTTAACATTGAAAACAAATTTGTTAACATTTTATAGCAAACATGTGCGAACATATGATAAATTCCAATTCAGTGTCTTTTTTTTCAAATTCCAACTTGAACTCAGACCTATTGCACTTGATTTCAACTCTTAGCAATTTGTCAGAACTAGAACTGCTACATTCCTTGAAAGAACATTCGTGACAGAACTTAATAGTTCCGTGCTTACGTACAAAATCTTTTTATGGTTATAGTCACACTTGCAAAAGGTTTTATTTACGAATATGGAATCTTATGGATTCGACGCCAAAATGACTTCTAGTGTATCTTCAGGACAGTTTTGAAATTTTCATATTAAACTATATAATATTTTCAAAGTTTTTTTCGTCTTTATAAAAGCATGTTCGCTCTCATTTCGATTCATACGAGTGTTTGTTGATATGATACTGACCAAAAATAACGCGCCTCTTTTTTCACAGACTGTATTGGAATGCCAGCTGTTGCTAAATACGAAAACTACCTGTGAATCATTCCATAGGTACTTTTCAGTTGTCATCCAAGAGCATAACAACAGGAAATCAAAACAAACTTTACGAATAACACTCCAATAACCGAATCACCAACATCCTCACAAAAATCAGTATTATATGTTTAAAAATATTTACATTTTTTTGTCGTAGGGTTATTTATGGCACACCACGTCTGTTTATTTAGCTTGAGTATTGTATTTCTGAATGAAATTACAATAATCTGATAATATATGATGTTATTCATTAGAGAGCAAATTAAGTCCAACTATAGTAGCTGTTCCATCAATAATTAATCATTTTACAGCAATTTGAAGATAAATTTTAAATATTAACTATTTTTGAATTCGATAAGTCTAAATAAATTGCAAATATTTGCTTTTTTTAATATAGCAATAATTTTGTAAGCTTCGAATCAATTGAATAGATTTACGACTCGAAAGTAGATTTTTTTTAGAGTGTGCTTTATTCTATTACATTCATGGATGTTTACAATCCGACAGTAGCTGTAAATCGAAAGAACTTGACTAAACTGAATATGAAAAATCCTAAACAAACTATTGAACCTCTCGACATATTAGAAGAACTTCCTTGAATAAACGAAGCAAAGGACAGTCTAGAAGATCTCTCTAAAAATCTTATTTTTAATGAATTCTGTAGCTTATTCATTTTTCTAGCGATTACATACATATTAATATCCATCTTCAGTATGAATAAATATTTTGCTTATGTATTAATTAATCTTAATCCATTGAACTTCGGTAGTGGAACTGACATGGGAGATGTGAGCACAAGATAATATGCAAATACAGATATATACTAAAATAAAGTTCATGTAAGAAGGTAAAACATTGTTTTTAATCGATAAAAATCACCTATAGTTTTGTAATCAATTTCAAACAACTGATGGTTAGGCAGCACAGCTAAAATGGAACGTGTAAAGACAAACTCCTATAGAAGGAGTTCTTTGTCTATCTTAAACGAATTACAAATTAGATAATCGATCAAAAAGCTTCCAAAAAAATGTTGAGATTATTGAATTAAAATTAACTTTAATCAAATTATTTTTCGAGGAAACAAAAATTATGCTTTTTGCTTGCTTAGTTTTCACTAGATTGATGTCATTGCGTTCACTTACAACAGAAAAGCAAAGAAAATCTCAGTAATAATTCTTGCATCGTAATTTGGTTACTGTTGAGTCAATTAAAGAATCAGATCATTGATAGTATTCGATTTTCGAATAGAATCAATGAACAACTATATATTCGGATGAATCTTAAGGAAACGTTTTTTGAACCCATGGCTATATTCCACTCTAAATTGAAATGACCTAATTCTTGTTCAAACCTAGTACATAATGAGAGAACTAATTGCTTGGGTACTGAAGCCAACGTAATCATTTCTTGAATAACAACGTGGATCCACATCAATTATGCTATACACGAAATGATATTCCACAAGAAAGAGCATTCAGATGTTCTTGACGAATGTTTTATTCAGAACGAAAGAGACTTAGTTTGTCTTATCGATTTCATTACTTGGCTGATAGGAGTCTGATGAGCACGTCCAGTGTTCAGTTATTCAACGATAATGAAAGAAAATTTTTCGGCTTTGTTTGACAGTGTCATGCCCCATGCTACTGCTCGGTCGAGTAAGCCCTGAAAAGTAATAGTTTCACTAAAAGTATGGCTGTCGTCGAAAGATGACACTATCTGACAATGATCTAATAGTTTCACTCTCATTCATTTTCAAATATATCATCTTCCTTGTATAGATTTCAATATCAATAAATGTTAAGAGGTGGTTTAATTATTATAATTAAAAGACAAAAACACAAAGAGTCAAAATATTAGTTCATTTTTTTTACCTGCGAAAATCTATGATCGTCTACAGGAGGAAAAAAGAATGTAGGTGTGAGTGTTCCATTACTCACATCCACACTCGCCACACACCCATACCCGCTCTCATCCTCATCCACATTCTGTTTGTAGTGAGGAACTGTATGGAATTTATCTCAAAGTTCTTACGGACTTATTAAAAAATCCCAATAAATCCAGAAAAAATGAGTCCTGGTAGCTGCTCAATCGTTCATATGAATACTCGACACTTAATAATTGGTGCAACTATGAAATACTATTTTAGTATTGTAGTAGCTCTTACACACCCACACCCACCCTTTAATCATTATTTTCGCATAAAAGTAACCTTATTATGTTTCGAATTCATATATTTAATCAATTGTATTTTTAAGTATACATCAATTGATTTTATTAAGAAAAGTTCCAATATCTTTTCATATGACTATTATGATTTTATGTAAAAAGTTTTGCTGGATTTTTCAATGAATGTTGTCCTTATTTTATTCCTTTTAAAAACGAAAATTTCTAGACTAATAGAAAGAATGACTTATGGTGTTCGAAGTAGCCTATGTACATTTTAGTAATTGCTGAGAGATCTCTGATCAATAGAGAGATTTTCTTATGCTTTTTTTGTATTGCCTATAAATCAAATTTGATTCCAGAAAAAGCAAAGATTACATAGGTTAAAGTTTATTTGTTATAATTTAAATGAATTAGTAGTCTGAATTTATTAAAATTATCAAATTAATACTTTTATATACCATTTTACATACTATTGCTATTAGATAGAATTTTTTTTAAACATTGAGACTTCGATTTTTAACGATTTTATTGTTACTACAGAAATTTAACTACTTAATTTATTTGTTGATATATAACATTATTAAAAAAACAACAGATTTTCTATTTCATTAGCTTTAACAATACATAACTACAAATTTAAAATAAATAGTTTTAAATATTTTGTTTTATTGCTGAAGTATTTAATAATTTAATTTAACAGCTTATATCAATACGTATTTTATTTTTTGCGACACACTGAAAAGTAAAATCTTTCATACTAAATAACCATTTTATATAAAATATGTAAGAGAAAAAGCGATAAACGAATTCATTTTAATAATAATACTTCGAATCGATTATTTTTTAAATAGGTTGTCGAGAAAAAAAGAACATTTCATATTTACTTTACATTCATTATTTAAAGTTCTGTTTTAATGTTTTATTATCTATATATTTTTTCAAAATATCAACAGCACACATTTTTCTTTAGAAAGCAATAGATTTTCAAAAGCTATTTTATAAAAAAAAAATTTTGGTTTCCAACCCGTTTGTTTTCTTGACTTATAGATTGGCTTTTTTTTATTTGTTCTTTTTATGCATATATACTTTAAAATAAAAGAAAATAATTGCATGAACTTTAGAGCGTCTATATGAAAATTATCAATCTGGTTTGAAAAAAGAGAAAAAGTTTCAAGTAAATGACATAGTAGGAATAAAAATTTCTGACGTTGATCGATCAAATTTATCGGCATCAATTCTTCCATGTAAAATTATTGAAGTATCACATAAAGATGAAGGTTTTAATACACAATACAAACTTGCCACAATGGATGGAATAATTAATAATTGGTTTTCATCAGCAGATATTATAGATATGTCGGAAACAGTTTCAGTCGATTTGAGACAATTAGATATAAACATATTACCAGTTATAACTTTTATTCAAGCTTGTCAAGCGTTTACCAAATTTATGCCAATTAACATTTGTAAATGTAGAGGGTTATGTAATACAAAAAGATGTCCACGTAAAAGACAATCTTTACTTTGTTGCACCAAGTGTCATCGTGGTAAATGTATTAGTTGTAAAAATGAACATTAATAAATGCTTATTGTTTTTCACTGGTATGTTTCGATGGAAGATATTGAGTAGAGATTATTTAAGAGATTTGGGTTCCTTTTTTGCCCATAAAATAAAGTTTTAGAAGCATTTGTATAAAATATGCATACCTATGTTAATTAAAATTACAAAATGTGAATCTGTGTATTATCTCTCATTGATGTTGTTTAATATTCCCTCGACTGGAAGGAGGGTCATACGAAATAAAATGCGTTTGTGATCTTGCTTGATTGGGGTCAAAAAAAACATTTATCAGAAGGTTAGCTTATTTAAAGACTTTTGGCCGTTTTGATCGAACTTTGCTATAGGTTATCGATGGCCCTGAATCCGAATCCGAAGCCCATTTTTTTGGCCGAGATTCAAGGGGGAAACAGCGGACTTCAAGACTTCAAGACTTCAAAAGACTTCAACAGACTTCAACAGACTTCAGCCGCAGTGACTTCATATTTTCACAAGACTTCAAAAGACTTCAAAAGACTTCNTATACTATTAATGATAGATTACATTAATTTTAATATTTAATAGAACTTTCAACTTCACCGACTCATAATTAATATTAGATTGTATTGATTTAGCTATTGTTTGATATAGCCTATGTATACTTCAATAAAATTAACATAATCTATGATCAATAGTATAATAACTTCATTCTCTTGATATATATCTATTAAATTTAGATTCTGATTGCTATTGTATAAACGAGAAGAAACAAGATTTTAGATTAAATTTCTATTGATAATTTTCATCGAATGATAGCAAATGAGTTTAATCAAAATTGAAAAATTCATAAGACTTGTAATTATAATCAAAATAATAGAACATATCAATAGAATGAAGTTATTATACTATTGATCATAGATTATGTTAATTTTATTGAAGTATACATAGGCTATATCAAACAATAGCTAAATCAATACAATCTAATATTAATTATGAGTCGGTGAAGTTGAAAGTTCTATTAAATATTAAAATTAATGTAATCTATCATTAATAGTATAATCACTTCATTTTATTGATATCTTCTATTATTTTGATTACCAATGAGTTGTATAAGAGTATATGACTCCAGGTCGGTCAAAATGGATATCTATTACGGACCCTTATTACTGTGCTCAGAAACAGTATCGTATACTGTGAAAATACGGTCCGTATACGACCTTATTTTAATGATGTTACGGTCCGTATTACTGGATTCAGTAGAGTGTCCGAATACGGTCTGTATATGAACCGTATCGTTAGACCTGGGACTATAATATATGAAAAATATAATCTAATATTAATTTTTAAAACTTTTATTTTCTTTTGGTTTTTTTGATTGTTTGAACTTATTAGAAAATGAATTGAAACCTTAGTAAAAATAATTATGAAAATGTATCAAATGACTTTTATTTCATTTAAAAATTATTATTAAATAAAATTATTTCTTTGGAAAGGTTTTATAAAAAAAAATGAATAAAACATGTTCTAATGACTTATATTTTTTGTTTGAAAAAACATAAAATGAAAAACTTTTTTTTTTTGGAATTTAGAAATATTTCTTTAATATTGATTCATTCTTTATTTTTTTGTTTTATTTCTTTAAGTTCGACCAAACTTTGAATCTGGAAAATTAGATCGAAATTTAATGGCACGATGGAGACGAACTCTACGTACACCTGAATCAATTAGTATGAAATTCGAATATATTTTTATTTTTAGAAGAATAAAATCAATTTAATAAAAATTATTGTTATTTAGATGAACATGTTATTGTTTTTGAACAAGATCTATGTCAATTGGTCGAAAAATTAAAAGAATTTGTTTATCTTGATATTTATGGTAATATTGATTATGATAGAAGTTGAATTTTATCATTTAATGGTTCAAAAACGTTTTCCAAATAGTCGAATTTATATTCAAATATCAAGATTTTCTCTTTAGATTTAATTATTATCTATAATATGATATTATATAATTATATGCTAATGAAAATGATTATAATTCTCTGTTGTTTTTTCTTTAAGAATTAATTTCATCAAGACTTTTTGTTTTTCTTTTAAATAAAAAATAAAATCAAAATTCATATTTATTCAATAACAAGACTTTCTCTGAATAATTCTGCTATATGTATAGCAGAATCTTTAATAAACAATCATATTAATAACAGAGATATTAATAGCTGTTCTGAATTCTATATCATTCGTCGACAGCATCTTTTGTCGACAGGCATTTCGTTGACAGCTACTTGGTCGACAGTACAGTTTGTCGACGACTTTTTGTCGACATATTTCGTCGAACATCAATTTAATCTATTGTGTGCTCAACGGAAAATGAACCTGTCGCATCCAACAATGTCTTGAAACTCTTACAGATCGATTCAAGAAAAAAAGAGATTAATCTCATCGAATACCTTGAAGGTTTATCATTGTTGGTCGCAAAGAAGAAATGATTCAGTATTAAAGTAGAAAAAAAAAAGTTTTCTGTTTGTTTGTCATTTGTCATCTTCTTCTTATGGTAAATTTTTCTGGTTGTACTTCGTAAATTTGTTCTATATTGATCAATATACTATTTGTTATTTTCTGTTGTATCTCCTTGATTAAATAAAAAAAAAGAGATAGATTGGTACTTTTTAATATTAATATTTTATCACAAATATTTGTCGACAAAATAATTTCGACGAAATGTCTGTCGACAAAAGAATCTGTCGACAAAAAATTGTCGACGAATGATATAATTACCACTGTTCTTTGTATTCTTGAGTGTGGGTATGAGGGTCTGGGTGTAGATCATCGTTTCTTCCACATCTACACCCACATCTACACCTCACCCTATTCTTCATCTTCCTTTGTAAGTTTAAATCTATTTTATACAGATCTTAGAATTACACATGAGCAAAAAAAAATCTAACAAACTCATGAATAATGAAGATTAAAATGGAATATCAACAGATGTTATTTGCGTTAAACTATTCACTAGTTGGTTTTCTATAGTGTAAGTTTCTTCTTTATACATTTTTTTACACAGTCACGCATATTTTTGAGAAATATATGTAGACATTATGTCATTAATTGTTTTTTAGTAGAAACTAAAATGAAAGAGTTTGTCTGTTCTGTTATGTGTAGTTCTTTACCACATTATTTCTGATCTTTGATGGGTTAAGTTCAATGAACTTTGAATCATAAATCAACTTCAGATTAATAATACATGTATGTAATTGACTAAGACGGCAATCAAACAGACAAAGAAAATCATCAAAATTGTGCATTTTAATGCGTAAATGAATAATACTCAACGAAAAATGTTTACTGAAAGATAAATCTCTCGGCAATAATGAATATAGGAAATAACTGACATTTACACCCAAGCCCAAACATTTCAGATTTGTTAATAAAACAAAAATATTAGAATGAATGTCAGTTAGTAAATTTTCCATTGATTGACCCTGAATTTCATCACTAATCCTTATGACTACGGCTGGTATTTGATGTTTGAAGGCGTGAATAAATGAAGTATTTTCTATAAAAATGAGTGTGGGTATGGGTTGGGTGTTCTTTCAAATTACACCTCTACACTCCTCAGTGTCAGTATTTTGGTGTTTACACCAACACTGTACAACTTCAACATTAATTAAAATCGAAATAATTATAGAAATGAACGACATCGATTTGATTTAACTAAATATTGATGTTGTCACAAAAACAAGATATCCTTTCTCAATTGAATCGGATTTAAAATAATGTAAGCGGGCCCATAAAAAGGTTTTTCTCATTAGTTTTGATACTGGATGAGCACGTTCGACGCGGGACGATAGAAAGTCGAAAACAAAACAATTTCTTTTGACATAAACAAAATAATACATGAAGTTCATATACTCTTTAGTTTTCGTGACACTGAATAAAATAAAACATGGATAGAACTTTCTAATGAAAAAAGCTTTTCATTTAATCATAAAAATGAGATTATTTACTTAAAGGTCAGAAATAAACAAACAAATGGCATTAAGACTTAGAACGAATAAATACATTGATATTATTCATTATTGATGACGTACATTCCAGAAGGATGGGTGTGACCATTCTTGTTTTGATTTACGAATGCATACCCACACTCACACACTCAAGGAATGTTTCTGAATTAGTTGGTCTTTATTTGAATTAAGTTTTTATCTATATTTTCTTGATTGTAATACTTGATTTGTACTTTATTTGAATGTAATAAGGAATTAATCAAGTCAAATTACTAATAAGTTAAGATATTTTGATTGATATTAATAGTAGCTACATAAACGACTATAATATAACTTAATATTTATTAATTAATTGATCATACCTATTTGAGTGCATATAGCCACTTTCTTTAAATAATATATGAGTTTTATGTCACCATCAGTTAAATTTACATATTCCATGGAGAAAATTCTATTTTTTCATCACTTAGTATTGTAGTTGATTTTAGAAATTTTTCAAAATTATATAATCAAAAGAGAAATTACCAATGATACAGGAGTTTTATTAATTTTAGTTGATAAATATGAAAACGATAGATCGGATTTAAAAAATAGTTATTTCTAATGTCAAGGGTATGGTTGAAGTGTGAGCGTGGCTTAGTAGAAGCAAACTACATCCGCAACGACACCAATATCCACCCAACCATTACTAATTGTCATTCTGTCCATTCGAATAGAATAGGAAAAAAATGGTGCTCTGTGTTCATCTGTAATTCTAACGTTAAAATCATGAAATTAAAAGAAAGATAATCTACTAATTATGTATCTGTTGACTGTAGTTCGAGTACTCAATAGCTTCATTTGATGTAAGAAAAACTTATTCGAATAAATTTTCATAGAGAATGATACTCTGACTAAAATGTAAATATACATATAGCATTTCTAAACTAATGATACGAGAGATATAGCTGTGGATGAAGAGAAGAATCACACCCACACTCTGAGTACGATAAGAGCATTCTATAAATAATGCTACAAAAGGCATCACAACTTTATTTTTTATAATAATACACACAAAATCACCTCTTAATTGAATGAATTTAACTATAACGAATTATCTTGATCGGTGAATCAACATGGAAGTGATATGCTTTTCAGTTACTTAAAGTATTCAAGTTCATTGTTTGCGATGTTCACATGTCGGCAAACTACTGCAGTCGAATAAAATCCATCATTTTTTGCTCAATTTCATGAATCTCTTAAATATCGATGATGACTCATGCTTATCACTCATCCATAATCGTATACTGTGATCGGTTATTGTACTGGTAAAATGTCGGTCACGTGATAATCGTCGACTATTTCGAATAAGCCATTGACGTGTTACTCTTGGACGTTGCCAACAACACCATGTCTTAATACTAAAATTGAAACGAAAATACGCATCGGATAAATATTTTAATCGATCGATGAAGACAAATAACTCTCCCGGCAATTCAACTGATATGTGCAAACATTCTAATCGAGGAAATGCTGCACATATATATTCTGGGTTCAACGATGATGATTGCCTCTGTTCGAAACTAAAGCGCAAAGTTCGTATTTGTTCAAAGACAACGTTGTGATGTGGAATATCGGATGACCATAAATTACAGATATTCAGTGAGTATAGACGTGGTTTATCTTCGAGCAAAGTCTGTAAATCAAATTTGTTTTCAGTTTGTGTACTCTCTTTAGCAGGAAATAAATTAAGATGTTCGACGTAATTATTGGGTTTTAAAATATCAGTTGTACAATCTTCTATGGTATTGTTCGATGGACATTCGAAGTCTTTTGGCATGAAGCGAGGAATAGTGAAAATGGTGGCTGGTTTGCGGTCATCATAAGCAACAAACCAACGCTTCTGTTCGAGCCAGAATGGTGTTCGAAACGAATTAAGATGGTTGATTTTCGCAGCATCAGATGACGACCAATGTACAATACGAAATCGAAAATCAAATCGAATGAGATCAACAGCAATGGACTCCCATTGATGACTGTCGATTAAACCGATTTCACACAGAATGTCAAGTTCTAAATATTTCACACATGGCATAGCATGTAAAATATTTCTTATTTCAGCTATTGCCATCTCACCATTGTCAACGCTGAGAGAAAATTGACGAAGTTCTGATAAGATCTGTACGTCTGTGGGCCAACCGGTATTACCATAGTCAACCAGAGTAATGTTCAAAGAACGAATATGACTTATGTTCTTGAACAAATACCTAATTTCTGTGCAATGACATCGTGTCAATATTAAGTGCTGTAAATTATCCAAAGGATGCTCGAAGTAACAATCATCGGTTATTAGTCGACGAAGTCGCGGTACTATCGAGCGGATAAATGCTTTGAAAGCTCCAGAATGCCATAGACGACTAGGCAAATGCAATGATGATAAGTGCTCAAGTTGTAACAGATTTCTCAATCGTCCAAACGTATCTTCATTAAACGAGTCCATTTCGAATGATCGAAGATTGACGAATTGTTCGATAGAAAAATACGAGAAGAAAAGAATACATTGATCAGGTGTATTGTCTTTATCAGAGAGGGACAGTGAAATGATTTGATCGGGTCGAATGAGACGACAAGTAAGATCAAACTGTGTCTTGCGAACTGATCGAAAGTTGATTAAAAAGCGATCGTAACTTTTCAAAATAGCACGAAGATATTCACTAACATTAAAAAAGGAATAAAAAGTTTCATGTGCCCAAAGATAGCCGAGAATTTTATAAATTAATTCGACAGGAAGACGATCGAAAAAATTCAATGACATTATGATGTAAAACGTTTGCACAAAAACATGTTATTCTGCCTTGTTTGCTTCCTCTCAGTATGCTCGTTTTTCTTTCTCTTGCATTCATATCTTTTGACGACATTGCTTTTTTCTAACGTTAATCATAGCTTACACAGTGAATCATCAATACTTTTGTTTTCTTTTTTTTCATGAAAAAATGACAGAAGCAGCGTCTCTCGCCAGAGGGTGCTATTTGTTTGTGCATATCTTCTCATGTTTTTTTCAATTTAAATTATTTAAATAGAATACAATCATAAGTCCTAAATCTTCGTCGTTTCAATTTTAAAAAAATTTGCTCATGACAATTTTAATAAAACTTACTCTTTCAGTTTTATCGTTGACTAATTGTAATTTATAGAATTCGTCAAACATAATTATTTATTATGAATGTCATTATCTTTTCTTTTTGAACTTGAACATGCCGATAGAATGAGGATAGATGTGGGTGAACTTAAGCTTCACACAACACACCCATTTTACGGTTAGCCTCGAGTTATTAGGGTTTTCTTTAGTGTTCTAATTCGATGCACATGTAGTCAAAGATTATCCATTTAATTTCATTTTTTGCACATGTATATGAACAGATCGATTCCTCTATTTCCTTGGTCGGATGTCGCATGTTCAACAAAATCACGTCCATTTAATTGAGAATTAGTGATGGTTACGTCGCGTTATTCGACGACGATTATGTGATGAAATGAAAAATCGTCGCCGATGACACGTCATTATTTAGTTGCTCCTGTGCGACGAGTATAACGAAACCAATTGAAATCGTCGTATGACGCACTTTCTATCGATGATTTGATTGACTGTGAATTATATTTAATAAAGCTGCTCGAACAACTAGTGAGAGAACAACCAAAACAAGAGTATTTTGTTACATGAAAAAGAAACAAGATATCTGATTGAAGCGTCATCCTCAGCTAAAGCGTATAAAAGGCTGAAAGGACGTAAACCAATCTTGTCTCGCGACATGAATGTAAACAGAAAATACCTCCATCTGAGGATATTTCTTTCTATATTATAGCTTTTTCAACAGACTTTCGTAGTCATAAATGTTGAACCGATTTGTCTGTCCTCAAGGAAAACCATGAACTTTGGATAGTATTATTTTCGTATTGTTCCCATTATTTTTCTCCCTATATGTAATATGGCTTATCAATCGTGTCAGTGAATACCACCGTAGAAATTAAACCGTTGGGTATCCCATTACTTTATCATTCGAAAAGATTTGTGTCATTGAAAATAAAGTACGAAGCTATGTCGAAAAAAATGTTTCAAGTAACTTTCGTGGAATATGTTCTCTTTAAGTAGGTATTTGACAAACAATGTACTTAGGATAATATCTTCAGAGCGAATATTTTTACTAGTACAATATCTAGTTTTAGTAATGTTTCTTTACTCTGTTATCATGCTTGGCAATTATTTGATAATGTGAGTCCATCTAGTCTAGATGGCAGACATTAAGAATTGCAAATGTTCTTATAAAACCTATTGTTTCTAGACCATCTTCACATTTATTGTCAACATGGACAGTTGTAAGTAACTAGCATTTTGCTTCTCTATGCTTTTACAAGATTGCTTATCT